ACTATTTTGGGCCAATTTTACTTTGATAGTAAAAAAAATCAGGAGATATCCATTACCATTTACCACCAAATGAAAGCCCAATTTGTCCTGAAAAAAACAAGGCATAATTCACCTGGATGTACAAAGTAGTTGTGATGATATGTACGGATTTAATAACACGTCAACGTAAATTTGTGCTTAGGTGTTTAGATTTGTTTTACCCTTAGGCGTGAAGGGATTAAATTTGTTTGCGCTTGTGAAATGGCAATGGACTTCAATACCCCATATTTTCTATAGGCAACACTTTTAAAGCCCCCTTATCAATATAGTGTTAGGGAGGAGGTCTGGTGGAATATGGGGCAGCTTGGTACCATGTTATACTCTAAATCTGAGTGTAACATGGTAGAGAAATTGGACTTTGAACAGAATGGGGAACATAGTGCCATTGTACTTAGAAATTGTCAGGGAAGCTGTGTGGCTTTCATCAGTATTTGATGACTGTCCGTTTTATTTGGTATATTTGTTTGATTCTGGAGAACAGTAGTGATGTTGATGCTGAGTGAAAGCGCTGATGCTTGTTTACCTTCCCAGGATACGTGTAGATGAGATGCATGTCTTGAACTATGTCTCCTGGTTCAGACATGTAAAATAAACAGACGTGGCTTTGAGTTCACAAAGATCAAGAGCGAGTTAGATCTTACACTGGAGAGATGCAGGAAGGGAAAGGATTTGTTTCAAAATGTACTTCTATTTAACCACTTGAAGACCAGGCCTATTCTAACCTTTTTGTTTATATGTAAAAATCTGTATTTTTTTTGGCTGGAAAATTGCGTAGAACATCCAAACATTATATTTTTTTTTAAGCAGAGGCCCTACAGAATAAAATTGTGGGTTTTGCAATCTTTTTATGTCACACAGTATTTGCGCAGCGGTTTTTCAGTTGCAATTTTTTGGGAAAAAATACACTTTGATGAATGTTAATACACAAAAACACAATATAATACCCAACTGTTTGGTAAAACATTATAGGTTACGCCGAGTAAATAGATACCTAACATGTCATGAATGACCCATCCCACCATCAGTAAAAGTGATCTAGTGACTAATTAGCCAGTAGGAACGCTTTTATATTGTAGGTCTTACCTGGCTCTAAAAAAAAAAACAAAAACAAAAAAAAAACAGCTGCAGCCATGGCCCCTGTATAACCACTCAAACTGCTACAATGTAGCTGTACGTTGTTTGGTGGTTGATTGACAGAAAAAATATTTTCTAGAACCTTTCTTACTGATTGAGATATGACATGCTGTGAAGGATGGCCAAATTCAAGAAAATAAAAAAACCTTACTGAGGCTCCATGCACACTGGGAGTTTTTAATAATGCTGGTAATGTTAGCTGTGTAAAGTCCCCAATAAAAATGTGAGTTTTCTTAGCTTTCTTGTATTAGCATTCAGCGGCGTTTTGCTGTGGTTTTTTTTTTTTTTTTTATGCATTTGCTAGCGTTTTTTAGAGGGTTTTTTTTACCCCCCCCCCCCCCAATGTTTTTTTTTTTTTTTTTTAGTAAAAACAAAGTCCAAAAATGCGTGTTTGCTATTTACCGTGTTTTGCTGCCTTTTTACAGCTGAAAAACTCTTTTGGAAACCCACTAGTCCTGGGTTTTTTGTTTTTTTTTTTCAGCCAAAAAACGTTGATTACAGTCTGTGTGCATGGATACATAGGGTAACATGCTGGGGGGATTACTGGCTGTAGAAAAATGTCAAAAGCCAAAAACAGCCGCTGTAAAAACGTCCAATATGCATGAGAACTCAAGCACGAGAACATGGGCATTAGGGTCATATAGGCACCATTAACAGATTTTTTTTTTTTTTTCCAGAATATGGTGATTTCTTTTCTGATTTTGTATTATGTTATATGGCCAATTTGGACTGTACTGTTGTGTTTCGTTATGTTTTACATGCTAAAAAAAAAATTGGCTTCCCTGGTACAATTGTGTTAATTCTCGAACGGAAAAGCCGTTTATACAAACTTTCAGTTGTCATTTTTACACATTACAGATTTCTGCAGATTTTCAGAACTGTACCTGTTTGCTAAATGGGGGGAAAATGAAATGTGCTAATGTTTGAGCACCCTGTCAGTCAGTCCTTTTGGCAACATAATCACAGCCTCCGAATGTTTCTTGAGGTTAACTAGCAGTTTTTGCTATTCTTGCTTTTGGAATATTTTTCCTTCTCTTCCTTGGCAAGTGCTTCTGGGTCAGAAATATACTTAGGTTGTCTTATGTGCACTGCATGTTTAACATCTACCCACAGATTTTCATTAATATTCAAGTCGAGACTGTGAAAGTCATTCCAAAAATGTTATCTTTCATCTCTTAAAAATGTTTATAGTTGATTTTGACATGTTTTTGGATGATTGTTTTGGAATAGTCAACCTGCATTTTTTTTTTTTTAAGCTTCTGTCTCCTAATGACTGTGACATTAGTCACATTAATGGAGTTTGATTCTTAGGGAAGAATGTATTCTTCTCTACCTGCGCAACATTTTACATGTCTGACAGCCACACAGTCCCACAGTATTATGCGTTCACCCCAAATGTATATTTGTTGCATTTTTTCTCCCTTTTTTAGGGGGCCGGGGGGGAGGATATAAATGTATGAGTGTCACATGTAACTAAAGAGTCTAGTTTTTGTTTCATTGGACAAAAGCACATGGTTCCAGAATGCCATTGTCGAAGGAAGCATTTACCATTTTGGGCTTTCAGGATCTCTTGCCATAATGTTCAAGCATGCACAGATATTTGCACTTTATGGAAGACCTACCTCCCAAAGTACACTTCTTCAGCAATGTGATGTCTGCTTTACTCCTTGTCACTCCGTGCCCTGCCATTTTCTTGGCCCGGAGTCCCTCTTTTCTTTATTGGCTGGACTCCTTTGTCCGCATGATTGACAGATGCCCAGATTGTACACTGAGCTGTGCATATGGAGATGTCGGTGTACAATTTACATTTAGAGCGAGCAGGAAAAAAGCTTTTATGGCATTTCATTTTAAGAGAAGTTTTATATCTTTTATGTCTCTTTTGCCCAAAACAAAACAAAAAACACTGCTAGAAATTTTTGAAAAAAGAAATGAAAATTGTATTCTATATTTTAAATGTTGACTTTTCCAGGATTGCAAGTATAGATAACGTTTCCATACAGGTCCTATTTTGCTAGCAATTCTACACAATGAACCAGTTCTTACTACTCCCATGACATCTAAACCTTCCTTTATATTTGGAAGCTTTAGTTTGCATTCCAGATCTCCAAGTCCTTTTGTCCAAGATCATTCTTGGTCTTCCAGATCTTGATTGTATCTGTTCAGCTTTTTTTTTTTCTTTTTAATAATTCTACATTTTTATAGTGGAAATACTTATTTCTGTTTATTATTTCAGGTACTTATATAGCGCTGTAAAAATTTATGTAGCTCTTTACAAATTTGTACACATTCACATCAGCCCCTGCCCTCAAGGAGCTTACAATCTAAGGTCCCTAACTTACATTCATACATATAAATACTAGGGCCATTTTAGACAGGAGCCAGTTGACCCACCTCTATGTCTTTGGAGTGTGGGAGGAAACCAGAGTAGCCAGAGGAAACCCACACAGGCACAGGGAGAACATGCAAACTCCAAGCAAGTGGTGTCGTGGTTGGGATTCGAACAGACAACCCAAATGTGGCTAGGCGGAAGTGCTAACCTCTTAGCCACTGTGCTTCTTAATGGCTGTTTAAGGGCACCTACCCTTCAGGGAACTAAAGAGCACAAATGTGAATGCAATGTGTTTTGTGATGTGCTCATGAAGGGCCCATTCAAAGAGAATAAACTATCTTAACACTGTACACTTCAACTCCTGGTTAAACCCAGTGACACACCTGCACATGTGGGAATAGAGTCTAAGGGCCGCTTCACACTATAGAAGCGAAGTCCAGATGCGTTCCAGATGCGTTCTTGCATGTGCGCTTTTTTACTTGTTCCGTTGTGTTTTTAAAGCATTTTTGAAGCGTTCCAGTGCATTTTTTTTTTATGCATTCCAGTTCATTTTCCCCCCCTTTTTTTGTCAATTTAAATAGGGACATGTGCATTCCAGTGCTTTTTTGGTGTGTTCCTTTGCATTTTTGATGAGTTTTACTGTGTTCCAGTACAGTTCTATGCAGAAAAAAAATGCAGCATGTTCTACTTTATTTTCTGCAACTGGAACTGCAAGCACTGATTTGAACTATGACGTTGTCAACCATACAACCTACTTTATTTGCATTTTGGATGCAGAAAAAACAGCAACTGAAATGCATGTAGTGGGAACTGGCCTTAAAATTAACCCACATTTTTTTCTGTAAATCCTATTGTCGAAAAGGTTAGTATATGTGGAGTTTAAATTGTTAAAGATGTGATTTCTTTTGCTCCTCCAACAGTGATCCACATACCTTTAACTCTTGCACCACTTAAAGCTATGTTCTTACGTTGGCTGTGGGTGTAACGTGTAGTATTGGAAGTGTGTGTTAATATTTTCCCTTGCGTGTTTCAAAGTGGAAAATATCAGAATCGCGGTCACTCGCTTGTCATAGGAAAGGGAGTGAGAAACAGTCAGACATTGTCCGAGTCAGATGAAGTAAGTCATGATGGGGTTGCTGTGTTAGTGATTGAAACAAGGAGAGTTCAATTCAAAAATTTACATTAGCTAATGCACAGTTATTCCAACATCACACTTGCTATCCTGTCAGAAGCAAAAAATTGCCAGCACCAGGATAAGTCGAAAATGCTGGGAGAACTCTGTTGCTCACTCCTTGCTCTGCTGAGAACGTTTCAAAATGCAAGTCGGCAGCAGGAGAGCAACACCTTCGCTCATCCAGGTGGCGACAGAGCAACGCATGCTCAGATGTGTCCTCCAAAGCCATCCTGCTACTGACAAGTTCTCACAAATGTGACTTTAGTCTGAGCGCTCACACTGACAGTACTGAGGTGTGACAACAAATAAACTCTGCTCATGAAATGTCCTGTCTTCCCTGACCTTTCCTGAACGGGCTGTCTTGCTGATCTCATCACTTACTGTTACTAAACCCAGGACCCGGCATTCACTATATCTGGTCTCCCAGGACCCGGCATTCACTTTTATCTGGTCTCCCAGGACCCGGCATTCACTATATCTGGTCTCCCAGGACCCCGCATTCACTATATCTGGTCTCCCAGGACCCCGCATTCACTATATCTGGTCTCCCAGGACCCTGCATTCACTATATCTGGTCTCCCAGGACCCTGCATTCACTATATCTGGTCTCCCAGGACCCTGCATTCACTATATCTGGTCTCCCAGGACCCTGCATTCACTATATCTGGTCTCCCAGGACCCTGCATTCACTATATCTGGTCTCCCAGGACCCTGAATTCACTATATCTGGTCTCCCCAGGACCCTGCATTCACTATATCTGGTCTCCCAGGTCCCCGCATTCACTATATCCGGTCTCCCAGGACCCTGCATTCACTATATCTGCTCTCCCAGGACCCTGCATTCACTATATCTGCTCTCCCAGGACCCTGCATTCACTATATCTGCTCTCCCAGGACCCTGCATTCACTATATCTGCTCTCCCCGGACCCTGCATTCACTATATCTAGTCTCCCCGGACCCTGCATTCTCTATATCTGGTCTCCCAGGACCCTGCATTCACTATATCTGCTCTCCCAGGACCCTGCATTCACTATATCTGGTCTCCCACAGTACACACAACATGGAAATACAATTATTTTAATAAATATAAACTGCTAAATACCTTTTCTCATCAGCAGTTAGAGCAGTCTTGTGACTTCTATCAGTGTCCAGCAGAGCACTGGTTAAAGCTTTTAGGAGAAGTTTTCATCTTGCTCTGGGAGGTTGCAGGACACCTGATTGGCCCTGTGCTGATCACATGCACTCTACCAAGAAAACAAAAAAAGCTCTCCTAGCAATACACACCAAACTGAGCATGTGCAGAGTGACATGATATGTTTTATCAGGAGATAAGAGGGTGGACACTGGAAGAAGGGGAGGATCAGAGAAGTAAGGATCATATAGCATTTTATCCAATGCAGATGATTAACCCCTTTGGTTCCACAGTGAAGTATATCAAGCATGATTTACTGCATATACAGACTGACTTTACTGTTGTGGGTTTAGTAACACTTTACTTTCTGAACCAATGACTTGGAACAAGCTCTAAATACTACCTTTACTTGGTGCAAGCTTTGTCTAGCTCAGTATTTTAAGACCGAGATAGTCCGTCAACAAGCATTTCTTTTTCATTCATTGAAGGCACAGTTGAGATCTTGATCAATGGTAATTGCACATCTTCAGGATAGAACATTAGGCAAAAAACAAAAGCACAGCCCTTGACAGTGGTCAAACCCCCTATTTGCCTGAGGCAGCTTTGTTTTTAGCCTAGTGTCAAGGAGTATGAACCTATGATCCCCACTTCATATCTTAGTCCCCCGATTTGCAGGATTATTCCTTTTTTTATTCTTTTTCTCAAGACCTGCCATTATCTGGGCTGGGTGACAGGCAAGATGTGTATGTGCGGGTGCCTTGCTGATGACGTCACGCCTGGAGTGTGGTCTCCCGCTGCAACAAAGGAGGTGCGTGCTGTGGGCACTTGCATTCTTCAGTCCTTCTGTGTATAAAATGGTTCTGTGGGATGATGAGTCTGTTTTCATCCTTCTCTTTCCCCCTATATCAGACCTGGGGCATCTAGGGTTCTGCAGTCTCCTTTCGGGGGGGGGGGGGGGGACATAGGGGGATGATCTTTCCCTTGTTTACTCAGACTTCTCTGCTTCCAGGGCGGTCTCTATGCCTTCCTCCCTAAGGACCAAACAGATACTGTCTGGACCGCTGATTTTCACTGTGGGGTCCCCCTCTTTTCATGCTTGCTTCTTATTCTGATATTCTGAGTAGTGCTTGAATGTGGAATATAGCTTGTCATGATTCATGTATCATTTACTTCCTGGAATCCATCTGCCCTTAGCTCAGGCATAGGCTGAGCTGAGAACCCTCCCTCCCCTCCTGAAGACTGCTGGGATGTGTGGTGTCATTTGCCTAGGTATGGATCCAGGAAGTAACTGAAGAAATGTAAAAACAAGTTTAAAACAAGTAAATACGATATACTTTCCTATCTATTTACTAATGCTAGCAACAGAAGGATTACAGATAGTCCATTCTGATCGAGAGAGTGAAGTTCCACTTTAACAGCCTCTGAAGCTTTGTTAAGCACTCTGTACTGCAGGGTTCATTTCCCCTTGACAGTTTCTGATGTGCTTGAGTCATCGGTGGTGAATCTTGCCATAACTATGTTGCTGCATCGTCTAGCTTTGGGCATATGGACTGGCTCATAGTAAGAATCCATCCTTCATTTACAGGATCTTTTCTGGTGGAGCTCTGGAGCTGTTGTTGGCATCCTTGTCTATTGCAGTGCCAGGCTGGTAGACTTTCCCATACTAATTTTGTCTGTTTTTTTTTTTTTTTCCTGATAGTCTAAATGCAGTGTCCTCCTGTATATGCATTTCCAGTGCATGCTTTTTGAGGGGCAGTACCCCTGATTTTATTATATCATTCTTGTAGCAGGTACTCCCCTACTCTGCATGGCAGCTGGGGTATCAGCTGGGAGAACCTTCTCCAGCCATTCTAGCTTCAAGGGATCTTTTGTAGTTCCCTTCTTCTACAGCAGTCCTTGTCCTGGAGCCCAGTTGGGCATATTCCTGGGCCTTGCACCTCTGAGCTGTGGTCTAGTCGTCCTCTACTGAAGGTGCATTTACTCTACGCGGTAGATGTCTGTTAGGCCTGTGGCTACCTAGGCAAGAAGCATCTTAAATGCCTGGTTTTTGGTATGTAGCCCTCAGGGGCTCCTAATAAGGGTCTAGTTTGGTTTGTCTTGTCTGCTGTTCTGTACCTATGTGGCTCATGAGATTCTCTTGGATCCTGTGCTAACCTGGTGGCAAGTCCTCTCCTCTCTGTGGGGTGCTTGGTCACCTCCTGTCCAGTATTACTGACAGTCTAAGCTTTGTAACTTTTGAATGATGATTCTCCTGGACTCTGCACTGGATCCGAATCATTGCTTGTAGTACCTGGTGACTTATCTTATGGTTTGGAGCAGTCTGACTTCGGCATACATCCCCAATGCCAAAAAAGTTGGGATGCTATGTAAAATCTGCATAAAATCAGAATACAATTATTTCAAATCTCGTAAACCCCTATTTTATTCACAATAGAAAATTGAAAACAAATGTTCAAACTAAGAAAATTAACATTTGTTAAGGAAAAAAAAAACATGTTAATTTTGATATTGATGGGAGGCTTGTATGGTAGGTTATTTTTGTGGTTCATTTTGCGCAACCTTCAATAGTTGATGTTTTATCTTTTCCCTCTCTGAGCCTATTTTGGGATATAGCAGTACTGAGGTCCAAAGCTTTCTTTCTTTTTTTCGTACTGGAATAGTTTGCAGTACTAGTCCAAGTCTGTTCATCTTGTCTGTGCAAGTATCGGGTGCAAGTCCAGGTCATCACTGAAGGAACTGAGAGATGTTGGGGGATGACCTCACACCGATGAACGCAACGTCCTTGTTGTAGCACGTCTATACAGTGTGATACAGCCGGGGGAGAGTGTGACCTACAGCTAGAGGGTGAGGCTTTCTGCCTTCCCCATACATCATCTCTTCATCTCTTTCTGGCTCCAGTGCGTTGGTTTTTTCCACTATTTCTGTTGGTATATCTGGCTCCATCCAAGTTTGTTGGTGGAGGCTTTCAAGTCTTTAGGGCTGTTTGGTTACATTGAGATGGCTCCTACTTATTTCTCTTCAGAGGTCTCCTCCTGTGGGGAAGGTCCCGAATTCCAGTGCAGCTTCTACTTCTGTTGGGTGTTTTTTTACAGAACCAGTTTTGGGGTAGTTGTGTTGTTTCCCATCCCTCAATAGACTCTACTTTGGGATGTCCCAATGTTCAGATCAAGATCTCAGCTGTGCCTTTCAATGAATGCAAGAAGGAAAAAGATTTTTTTCTTTTTTTGTCCTCTCCATAAAATCCTTTTCTCTGTGTTTATTGAAAGGCACAGCACCCGCCCTATCTGGTTGTTCTGATACAGTACACTGCTTTGTGATTAAATGAGCTGCCTCTAGCAAAAAGTAAGTTTGGCCACTGTCACAGGCCACCCTAGGCTGTGCTTTTGTTTTGCCTTGTCTCCGACTTCTGAAGGTGGTGCCATAACCTAATGGTCAGAGATCAAGATCTCAGCTGTGCTTTTCAATTAACACAGAGAAAAGGATTTTATGGTGAGCATAAAAACGCCTATTTTTTAGATGGAGATTGAACAATCGCATATTTATCACAACACGGGTTTCCTTTCTGTACTACGTAAATACTGCAAATTGAAGATGATAAAAAGGAATAATTATTATTATTACAGGTACTTGTATAGCGCCGTCATTGCATGTAGCTCTTTACGCGTGTGTGTGTGTGTGTGTGTGTGTGTGTGTGTGTGTGTGTGTACAATCTAAAGTCCTTTATTCACTTTCATACATATCTACTAGGGCCAATTTAGACAGGAACCAATTATATCTTTGGAGTGTGGGAGGAAGCTGGAGGAAACCCACGCAGGCATTGGGAGAACATGCACACTCCAAGCAGGTGGTGCCATGGATGGGATTTGAGTCAATGACCCCAGTGCTGCCAGGCAGAAGTGCTAATCATTTAGCCATTGTGCTGCCCCATCATTTCAAATATGCAGATGTTGAAAATAGTAGGAAGCCTACAGTATCTGAACTAGAGAATCACCCAAAGAAGCAATTCACCAAAAACAATTGGCATTTATTAATCAGCTGTAACGTTCTTTATTTTGTATGTTAATTGGAGGCTATATATGGGGCAAAATATTTGCTTGATAATTTGGACGGGTGGGTGAGATCTATGATCGCACAACGTTCTTGGCAAGAGATCTGTTTGTAATGAGATTTTTTTTAATGAGATTTTTTGTCTAGTGATTCCTAGTTAGAAACCGCCTCTAAACATCCCAGACAGCAGGATGATGGTTTACATTATGCTACATAGCACGTCCTGTATTTTCTCAAATTTATGTACTGCATGTCAAATCATTTTAAAATCCTATATACGTATAACAAACCACTAAAGTTTGTTCCAAAAACCGTATAGTCCCCCCCCCCCCCCCCACATACTCTTAGACTATGAAAACACAGCTCATTTTTTCCCTCATTTCCCCCCTTGGAGTTGGAGAGGTTCTTCATACTGGCCAAGTGTTCAGTATATCACATCTGATAGCATTCAGCACTGTGTACGGCTGTATTCACACTATAACATTTTATGAATGTTCACCAAATCTCATGAAAACATGCATGTTGTACTTTTGGTTCCATTCATTGTTAATGGCACCTCAAACTCAGCAAAACATGCCACTTTTATATGTGGAAAACAATCGTACAAAGCTCAAAGATACATAAGCTTCATAGCTGTGTTTTGTTGCGCTTAGGGCAGTTCATTGAAATAAATGAGATGCTCTATGTGTGCAAAAAATGTGCATATGTGTGACATGATTTTGCACGTGTGCATAAAACGTGAATGCAACCTTAAGGTGATGTGGAAAATGAGCTGAGGACAAAGTGAAGGTGCTTGAATTGTTAGCATGTGCAGATTTTATGCCTTCATGCAGAAAGTGGCAGATGGTAAGGGGTTCGTTTATTA